TTCCAAGCCAGGTCTCCTAGGAAGTCTATAGAAGCTGCCTGCCTTCTGGCCCCAGTGTCTATCAATCCACAAATCCCCTGTCACTGAGCTCCATTCAGCTAAGTCCAATGGACATTTGGGGGTAGAATGAAGAAAGGAGAGGGTGCCAACAGCAGGCAGAACCTGACAGGCATGTGGCAGCAAAGGCAGCACGGAAGAGACATCAACAGCCGGAGCGTAGGCATCCAGTCCTTAGAAAACAGGAGGGCAAGGACATCAGTAGACCTGAGGAGTAGTAGATAGGGGACCAGTGGAGCGCATTCAAGGAACCGGAGCAGGGCACCTAAGGTACAAGACAAGCAAACAGAATACTCGCGATGAAAGACCAGCGCAGGAATAGAAAGGTTGACAAAACTGAACTGCGGACTTGGGTTTCACTGGGGATAGGCAACCACCAGGTGAGAGTTAAGAAAGCCCAAAATAGAAAAAGACTATGAGGTTACAGGGCCAGGAGACAGAGCAGACAATTACTATAACCCTCCTGCTGAGTCGGGTACATGAAATAAGACTTTGAACTCATTAAAGCATGTCTGATGGTATCTTTAACCATGAAAGTTGAAGTGCTTGGAAACTGAGCCTCGGGACGTATGGTTTACAAGACTGGTGTGTTGTTTTATATAGATCTAATTATATAGTCTTTCACTGGATTAGCATCACAAATTAGAATAAGGTGAACAAGGTCAGCAATGCCGTGACAGTATAGGCTTTCTAACATTCACCTGTTACCTACTGTCAATTCAAATAGTGAGTAAACTGTACCTCATCTGTCATAAATCATATTTTTGCTGGTAACCTCATAGCAGAGAGTAGAAGGATAGTTGTATAGAAGGAGAAAATAAAACATTAAGTGTCTGCCATGCATCAAATACAATTAATTTTCTCACTGAATCATCAATACATCTTGATTCCAGGATAATCAATATACCCTGACTTACTAGAGAATAAACCAAAGTTTCCCATATTGACATAAAATTTTGTTGAGAGGAATAAAAAATTTAGCCAATAGATTTCTCTGGGATGTGCATGTAACATACCCAGATATTCTTTTATGTTTATATACATCTTTTATAGATGTAAAGTTGTGTTCTGTAATGTGGGGGTCTGTCTCTTTTTGCTTGCCCAAGGTTTCTTTCTGGTAAGCAAATTCCCACCCTCCTCCTCTTAGAGAATTGCTTCCCCCCAAAGTCCCAGCCAACCACAGCACCTGATCTTGGCACAGTGACTGACATCAGTGTACCCAGTGGTTGGGATATGTGCCAAATGACACAATCAGAATCCTTCCCTGTTTCAACAGGAGGGATAAGAACATTTTTATAAAATGTACCAAAACCCATTATGTACTCCCCTTTGGTCTGCGTGGGACTTGGGACGTAGTGAGCAGCGCACTCCATCAAGTGGTCATTCTCCTTATAATCTAGGACCAAGTAAACCTGAGAATCCAAGTAGCTGGATCAGAATTAAGTTTGAATCTCTTAGCACCACCCCCCTCCCATTTTGGCTGGATTGCTCCCAACAGGAGGTACCAGCCAGGCCAGCCTGGGGGTATTATTAGGCTATTAGGGAAAAGAAAGAAACCCCATGTCCAGGAATTTCCAAAATAGGTCTATATAACCTCCTATCCTGGTCATTAGGAAGTAGCCAAGAGGAGATGATACTTTTGGGGGGATAGCAGCCTAGGGTGGCCAAGCTGCCTTACAAAGGTGTATGGGCCAGGAGGAAGTGAGGAAAAAAGACTAAAAAAATCCTTTTTAGTGAACTTCTGAGAAGGCTGTTCAGCCTCTGAATGGTGGTAGGAAGCATGAAAGATCCACTAATTACCTTGACTATCAGCCCATTGTATGAGACTTTGCAATAAAAGGCATACCATTGTCAAACTAGAATGGTCTGGAAAGCCAAAAGCATGGCACAGATTAGTTTCAAGGCTGAGGCAGGCTGACTGGACTAGAATAGCAACACTGTACCCTAGAAAACTGCCAGCACTAATAGGTGCAAGAGAGGGCCAGAGGTCTGATGGAGTCCACGTGCCCGGAGCAGGTGTGGACAAGGCCCCTTGTCATGGGGCCTCTCTGCATGTAAGACAAGCAGATCACAAGTCCAAGTCAGAGACTGAATCCTTTCTTGTGTGCCCAGTCTATGAGGGTTGGTGTCCTGTCAGGTCCGGGATGATGGATCCAGGCAGCAGTGGGGGTGATCTGCACAAAGCAGTCTCCCTCAGCAGATGGGCTCCAGTCCGGCTCATCAGAGAACAGGCTCCTCCTAGGGGCATCCACCTGAGTGACAGATGGCTGGGTCAGCAGTTGGGTTTATTTCCACAGTTTGCAGCTCCAGAGAGAGGTGTCTAACCAGTCTAGTTTTCCAAGTGCCCGACCACTGGGACAGCCCAGGAGTCAGTAAAATGACAGTAAGGTTGATCAAGGGGAGTGCTGCGGAGAGCCATGACAACGGCCTTGGGTTCTGCCCAGCAGGGAGAATGGCGGCCTCCATTTTTGGTTCTGAATAACTAGGACTGGACTGAATGTTGGCTTCAGCCTGGGACAGCACTCAGCTCAGCCGTCCCACCGTGACCCAGGACCAGGGCCCTGAGAGCCCTATTGAGCCAGCAGCTTTGGTCCAGATGGCAGAGTGAGGGATACCACGTTCCCCAAAGGGACGTCTGCCACTTGTCCACATGCACTGAGCTATGGGGGCCAGGCCAGCTGCACCCTTAAATGTACCACTTCCACTTCAGAAGCAAGGCCTCTTGGATCCTCCCCACTTTGTGAGAAGTTGAGTCCCAATTGACCTACCCTCCAATGTGACTATTCAGCCAGAATGTCAGAAAGCTTCCTTGGGGCAGGTGTTTAGTTTTGACAGGAGCCCAGAAACAAGCTAAAGCTGCCTTTCTAAAAGAGTGTACCCAGTAACTGTGTCCAGAGGGCGGTGGGTCCAAGACTGAGGGTGCCACTGAGCACAGGCTACTCCCTTCATCAGAGGCTCTCATCAGCAAAACCATCAATCACAGACACTTGTAGCTGTTGGTTGGAAACCTCAGGAATTTCTCCAGGTGAAAGCTCTAAACTGGCCCCCATACGTGGAGGGCAAGGAGAGACTGAAGAAACGGCAGGCCACTCCCGATTGGTACGTGGCAGTTTCAATAAGCAAGGGAACTCACATATTACCTTTGTCTTCGGTGGTCACAAGACAAGTAGGTGTCCACACCTGCCCACCAGAATCTTAACAGTTTATAGAGGCCTTGACTGGGTTTAGTTATGTATTCGATCCAGAGGGTCTCCACAACAGCTCTGTCTCAAGGCTGTGTCCTTGAAACACCTCCCACTGTGAAGATGGTGGGTGGAATAGACATTCCACGGACAGGGAGGGAGGGAGGGGGATTGCTGGGGTCCTGCTCTCGGGTCAATGGGGGGTCATGTCCTCTCGATGAGCCCCTCCAACAGTGGCTCCAATGACCGAGAGCTTGCCACAGCTTGGTAGATTGTTACAATGGAGCAGAGGACTTCCCTTTTGCTGTCTCTGAATGAGAAAGATTTGGGGCAGTGGTTTAGACCAAGGACCAGGAAATTGGCATGGGGTTTTACAATTTACAAAATACTTCCGTTGGGGCGCCTGGGTGGCTTGGTTGGGCATCTGCCTTAGGCTCAGGTCATGATCCCAGGGACCTGGGATTGAGCCCAGCATCAGGCTCCCCACTCAGGGAACCTGCTTCTCCCTCTCCCTCTGCTCATGGTCTCTCTCAGTCAAATGGGTAAATAAAGTCTTAAAAAAAAAAAAAAGAAGAAGAAAAAGAAAAAGAAAGAAAGAAAGAAAGAACGAAAGAAAGAAAGAAAGAAAGGAAGAAACTTGTAAACATGGCTTCCATTAAATCCTCAAAGACAACTGCTAAAATGGCGCCCTGGTTGTTGCTAAATTCCAGACCTGGGTCGGAAAGGCTCAGCATCCGAGGGACTGTTTCCTACCTGCACAGACAGAATAACAAGTCTTACCTCAGGGGATATTTGCGGGGATTCAATGGAGGCCATGTTTGCAAACATATTTTGTAAATTGTAAAACCCCATGCCAACGTGAAACATAAAAGATGATCCTAACACTAAGTGGAATATGGTAAGTGTTGATGTGGGAATGGTGGGGTTTGGAGCCGACGGCCAGGAGAGACTTTGGTGCAAGAAGGTGGTTTTATTAAAGCACAGGGACAGGACCTGTGGGCAGAAAAGAGCTGCACCGGGGTCATAAGGAGTGGCCCCTTATATACTTTCTAGTTGGTAGGGGGTAGGGACAGCACAGGCCTCCAAGGTATTTTGGAAACAAAATAAATGACCTATTATTAGGAAAGTTCATTTATTACTGTTTAGTAAAAACTCAGTCATGCGACCCTTCAGATGTGTATCAGTGGGTCATCTGCTTGGGGGATGGTTGCTAACATACATTTTGGGCGGTAGAGATAAAGGAAGTTTCCAAAGGAATTTCTATATGTTTAAAATAGGCTCACAGGATCCTGGGGTTGGGCTAAGGTTGCCTTTTGCCCTTAGCAAAGTGTCCACATCCAGGCAGCTGAGCTCCCAGAGGAAGGTCACTGCCTGTTTCAAGGACTTGTCAAGGAAATTTAATTTTTTTCTTTTGCCTTTGTTTCCCACATCAAGTGCTAATTAAGTGGAAAACAATAAATGTGATACCCATTGGACTGATTAAAGACCTATATATATACCACTGAGCCTGGGCACCTGGGTGGCTCAGTCGGTGAAGCGTCTGCCTTCCGCTCAGGTCATGATCTCAGGGCCCTGGGATGGAGCCCTGCATCGGGCTCCCTGCTCCGCGGAGAGCCTGCTTCTCCCTCTGATGCTCCCCCTGCTGGTCTCTCCCTGCCCCCCTGTGTCAAATAAATAAATAAAATCTTTTAAACAATAATAGCACTGAGCCAGGTTGAACTGGGTGAGGGTAAGTGGCCAAGGAAGTGACCTCTACCCGCCATGGTCCTCCCCGCGCTCCCCTACCTCCAGCATTTTGATCAAGGTGTGCAACCGCCCCTCTGCCTTCGTTTTTCTAAGATGCCGTGTGCTTCCGCCTCTCTTCTGGGGGCCCGTGGGTGTCGTTTTGGCTCTAGATGGTGGCAGTTGGAGGTTGTGAGTTTTAATCAGAGTTAATCCTCTTTTTTCAAGAGCAAATTAAGATTGGGAATAAGGCAAGATCCCGGCGCTAGGTGGGACTCGCGGTTGCTACTGGTAGGAGGGTGGGCTGGTGAGGGGGCGGGGCTCTCTTCCTTTCTGGCTTCTCCGACTGTGAACTCTTGACCTTGGTGGCTCCGCAGCCTTAGCTGGGCCCCCGGGCAGGGAACGCGGTGGGCTCGCGGAACCCGGCCGGCAGAGTGCGGCTGCCCGGAGCCACCGGCGCTGAGCAGGTGGGCACTGGGCCCCCTGCGTCCCTGTCCTCAGTGCACTGTGGGTGAGTGGGGCAGCTGGGTGTTGAGCTTGCGGGGAAGGAGGCAAGTGCAGGGTGTTTGTCCCGCACTCCTCGAGCCTGAAGCGGCAGGCGGGGCATTGCACTCGTCCTCTTGGAGAGGCTCCCAACCGCTGGGCCCTGGGGAAAACCTGGGTGTCAAGGGTGTGGCCCGGGGCACCCACTTCTCCGGCCATAATGGGGGTCCCTGGCTGGAGTTGATAAAGAGGGGATCCCAGAAGGGAAGTTTTGGCCGGTCGATGGGAGCACTGCCGCTGCATCCAGTGGGAGTTAATAGTCTTCTGTCTCCTTCCTGCCTGTGGGAGGCTTCACCCCGAAGCGACAAAAGGATCTGATCGCAGGGCTGGGCCTGGCTGGAAAGGGTCCTGGAGGGACGGAGCGGGAGCCGAGGGGCAGAGGGCGAGAGCCTGAGGGCCTTCCCCAGCTGGAGAGCCCGAGGCTCCAGCAGCTGCAGCCTGAGGTGCTGGCGGATCCCACAAAGCCTGGCAGGGGTGTTAGGGCTTTTGGTCCTTCTCAGAATTGCTGTGGGAAGGCGCTGACGGTGGTTTTGGGTCAGAGAGATTGGGTGCTGTGTGAGGACGGGAAGATGGCGACAGGTTCCCTCAGGCATTTACATTCGGGAAGGGCGGGTCGCCAGGACCGCAGCCTCCTTCCCCTCTGAGGGGTGTGGGTGTAGAAAGTGCTCGGGGACGTTCCAGGGGCCAGCCACAGCTGCCAGCAATTCCGACCCCGCGGCTTTGCTCAATCCCCAAACCAGACGTCGGGTTGAGGATGTGGACCAGGGCCTCCTCCCAGCACCCCCAGCAGTGCTGTTTGGAGGACCGGCGGGGAGCAGGACAGCCTCCTGGGTCCTCGGGCTGCCGGGTTGGGGACCGTCCCCACCTGACATCTCGTACAACGACTGTGCACAGTCCTGATGGGAAGGAAGGAGGGATAGAGGGACTGAACCTCACCACGCACATCTGCCTCCTTTTCAGCAATCCAATTAACTCCGTCGTCAAAGGTCCTTTTTCTGGCTATTTTCAGTTTCGCCACCAGTGCAGAAAAAGTGAAAGAAAAAAAAGGTCAGTGGGTTTTTATGTCTTTGTTTAAGGGATTGCACCTCAAGAAGGAGAGGTGAAGTGAGAGGCTGCCCGCGGAGGAGGTGGGGGTTGGGCAGGGGCTCCCTGAGCGGCCGGCGTCCCCAGCGCGGGGCTCACCGGAGCCAAGTGTTTGCTGCCGGCTTGTTACCTGTTTAGTCTTTACGAGGATCTTTATGATTCCCTTACAAGGAGTGCATGTGAAAAACCCACAGAATCCCAGTTTTCGGGACTAGATGGGGTCTTAGAGAGTGTCTCCTTTCCCATTTTCTGGTGAGATGCTGTCAGAAGGGTGAGACTTGCACTAGGGGGTTTGAGACAGATCCAGGGCGCACCCTGTGTGCAGAATTCTGCATGGATGCCCGAGAGGGTGCTTGAGACACGGGCATTCTGTCCTCGGTGGTACGGTCTAGGCTTTGAACACTAACTCTGCTGTGGACGGAGCTTCTTAGCGTCTCTGCACTTGAGGTTCCTTGAAATAGGGTTGGTAATTATGACCTTCCGGGGCTGCGCTGACACAGAGCTGGGCTTTGATAATTCTTGGTGTTCCCTGACCAGATACGGAACCTGTTGCTGCTCACTCCCTGTCTGGTGATGGGTTTTGTTTCTCTCTGACCTCAGGTTCAGAGAGGTGGGCACTGGCCAGGGGCTGAGGCAGGGCAGACAGAAGGCAGATGTCTTCGTAGCCCCCACACCGGCAGCGGAGCCCCGGTAACCAGTCCCTGAGTCCTGTAGCCTGGGCTTTGAGGGACCAGAGGTGTGACTGCAGAGCAAAACCAGGAAGAGCAGGTACATTCGTCCCAGGAAGCCATGCCAAACATCAGGAAGGCCTCTGCACAGCCTCTCCGTCTGCACAGTGACCAGGACACACAGAGCCCCAGGAAGGGGTCCAGTCAGTCCTGGGGGCCAGGCCAGGAGTGGACAAAGCTGGAAGCAGACACCGCGGAAGAAAAGCTGCTCCTGCAGGTGGATGAGGCAGTGCGGTGGGAAGCCGTGGAGAGAGAGTGCTGGTGGGAGGCATGGCTGGAGGTGAGCAGAGCCAGAGGGAGGGCGGGACGCTCCCAGACCAGAGCTGTTTCGTCTGTCCCCCTTCCGTGGTCAGATGGGATTTCAGACGGTTCCAAGCTGAACAAACCCCCGGACCAGGGGCTGCCAGGCCTTTCTCAGCCCCTGCCTCCACCCCGCCCTGCAGCCCTCCATGGAGTGGCGGCCCTTCTTATGTTATTCAGTGCACACCAGGCCCCCCCTTGTCTTCCTTCCCTTTCTGTCAATTAACATTGCTGGCTCTGTGCCTGTCGGTTCCTATTTCTCCCCTCCTTCCATGGTTTTATTTTTCTCTCGGGTTTCTAAACCTTGTGCTTGGATGACCCCCTGAGTGTCTCCCGCTTTTCCAGAAGCCAGTCACCTTTGACGATGTGGCCGTGAATTTCACGCAGGAAGAGTGGGTGTGTCTAGACGCCAGTCAGAGGGTCCTGTACCAAGATGTCATGTCCGAGACATTCAGAAACCTGATGTCTGTGGGTGAGAGGCAAGGGCCCCCTCAGCACGCCCCTGCCCGGGACCCCGCCCAGGACCCTGGGACACCTGGCTTCCCTGAGTAGGCAGAGTAGCTCGCAGTTTGCTTTACTGCCCCTATCCCTTCTAAACCTTCCAGGTGTGAAAGATCTAGTCACCAAGCTCAGGGGGAAAGGACAAGAAATGAAAAGTCTGCACGAAGGCAGATCCTTGGAACATGGTGATAGTTTGAAAATGTACCTACTCAAATGTACCAGTATTTACGGAATTGCCCCTATTATGTGCCAGGAGCTTCGTTAGGAGGGTCTCCTCCCTGCACCTAAGTGTCCCAGATTAAGTTCTTACACCAAGGGTACAGAAGAAGGTAGCCTTGTCCTCCCCGGGTATGAAGGGGCCAAGCCTTGGACCTCAACTCCCTCTGCCCTCCCAGCCCCAGTCAGAATCTTTCTGTCTAACCCAGATCTGATCATCGAGCTTGAACAAGAGGACAAACAGTGGCGGGCAGAGCTCCAGCTCCATCCCCCAAATGGAGAAGGCCTCCCTTCAGGTAAGCATGGCAGAGGAGGGGGGCAGGCAGGGGCCCAGGCCCCGCCCTGGGAGGGTGGCAGCCTGCCTCCGAGCACCAGTGCCGGGCGCGGCCTATCCCAGCCTGCATCCTTCTCACCTGGCCCCACTTGGAGCTGCAAGAGGGCTCGAGACCATGTGCTTACATCCCCTCCAGGAGAACGGGAGAGGAAGGGACAGGAGCTTGTGCTGAGCCCAGGTAGAGACTCATGTCTGAGGCAGAACAGGAAGGAGAGATGTTTCAGGCCAGGCTGACCACGGGTGCTGGTGTGCACTTCCCATGCTAGCTGGATGATTAACGGCACCGCCTTTCACTTAGGTGCCCGCATTTGTACGACCTAAGAGGTCACCTACAGGGTCGTGGGAGCGTGAGATATTGAAAACGAGAGGAAATGGAGTTCGAGAAATGGGGGTATAGGTTGAAGTTCTGACCTCCGCTCTTGTTGAAAGATTCCACTTTAAGTGTTGATTCACTTTTAATTTGGAAACCCAGAGGTCCATTCTGTCTGTAGCCTGTGAGGTCCAAGAGTGAGAGAGAGCGTGTCCAGTGGGCGCCTGAGGGAGCTGGGGGGCTGGGGCCTGAAGGGGAGCTGGCGCTGGGTTCTCATGGGCAGTCCTGTGTCCCTCCTCCTCCTCCCCTGCAGGCGGCAGGAAGAAGGCACTTCAGGCTGGGAGGCTGCGAGACCACAAGGGGTCCCTTGCCTGTGGAGGGGCAGGCCCAGCCTCTGCTGCCGCGGGGGCCACGCACAGGGCCCCCGCGCTGCCCGCATCCCAGGCCGGGCCACCCTTCCTGTGCTACCTGTGTGGACGGAGTTTCAGCAAGCGCTCCAACCTGCACAGTCACCAGTTTGTACACAGTCCCCACACGGTGAACAGCTGCGGCCAGTGTGGGAAGTGCTTCCGAAACCCCAGGGACCTCAGCTACCACAGGCGCACACATCTCGGGGAGAGGCCTTTCTGCTGCCCGCTCTGTGACAAGACCTACTGTGACGCGTCGGGGCTGAGCCGTCACCGCCGTGTCCATCTGGGTTACCGGCCCCATTCCTGCCCCTGCTGTGGGAAGGGCTTCCGGGACCGGTCCGAGCTCAAACGCCACCAGAAGACACACCAAAACCAGGAGCTGGTGGCCAGAGACCAGAAGCACATTGGGAGGATTCCAGGTACTGGATCTCAGGAGCGCACTGACAGGAGCCAGCGGTCCAGCCAGGAGCTTGTGGCTGTGACCCACGCCCTGGTGGCCAGGACCCGAGAACCCACCACTGGAACCAAGGGTCCTGTGGCTGAGGGCCAGCCACCTATCAACAGGAAGCAGGTGGTCACTGTGAGACGGTGGGCATCAGCCAGTGCAGCCCCGGGGCCTGGGACCAGGACACAGACACCCAACACGAGAGCCCCCTCCCTGGACACCAGGCCCCACTGTCCCCCAGCAAAGCCCTCAAGACTCAAGGTCTTCTCTTGCCCCCATTGCCCTTTGACTTTCAGCAAGAAAGCCTGTCTCTCTAGCCATCAGAAGGCCCACCTCTTGGAGCAGCCCAGCGGCTGCTTCCGCTGTGGCAAGTCCTTTAGTTCATTGTCGGGGCTGGCCAAACACCAGCAGATGCACTGGAGGCAGAAGATCTACCGTTGCCCCGTGTGTGATGTCTGCTTTGGGGACAAGGATGGCCTCATGGGTCACTGGGGGGGCTCCAAAAGCAAGGACCTGTGTCTGGGCAACCTTCAGGCGTGCTGGGCCATCCTGGGCCAATGGCTCGGCTTCTTTCACCATGCCCCCCCTTTGTCAGGGAAGGACATGGATCTGCCCCAGGATCCAGGCTCCCAGGAGAGGGCAGGGAGGGCGGGGAGAAGGCACCGGAGGGGGGAAAGCAAATGAGGCCACAATACATAAAGAAGCGGCCTTTCTGACTGAGGTCTTCTTCGGCTTGCTTTTCCTACAGCCTGGCCTGCAGGCTCGGGGGACCGGATGGACCTGCAGGCTCGGGGGACCGGATGGACCTGCAGGCTCGGGGGACCGGATGGACCTGCAGGCTCGGGGAAGAGAGGGGAGGGGTGATGAGGGAAATGCCGAAAGGACAGGCATGAGAAGTGGCACACGGAAACCGTATTGTTATTAATTAGCACCTGCCTTGTTTCTCTGTGTCTGGTAGACCATCAAGTAGTAATTGTTGGAGAAATCAGTGGCTGCTCTGATAGGGGTTAGCACGAGAGGAGGGAAGGGCTCTGGGGGACCCATCCGTGCAGGAGGTGGAGGCCAGGGTGACGCACGCCCTGCTGCCCTCGCCGCTCTGCAGGGCCAGATGGTGCTCCAGCCCGTGGCCTCCCCTGCAGCTCCCTCAGGGCCAGGGGTTCGCACTCCCCCTGCTCCTTCCCTTCAACGCTCTCCACCTCTCCGCTCTGCCCCCCAGGATGGACTGCATCGAAGAAACGAATTCACAACAGGGAGGCTGCTGGTCTCAGTCCTCCCTCTGTCACCGTCCAGCACAGGTGTCTCGTCGGAGAGAGGGACACCTGCCTGGCCACGGCCAGAGGCGGCTTCCAGATGGAGCGAGGAGAGAGGACAGATGTGGGTAGCCAAACGGGGAAAAGGAAAGGTAGATGACGAAGATGACTCGGTCCCATTTGGAGTCCAGAGCATTCCTGGAAATGCAGATTGGATGTCCTGGTGGTGAGGAGGCCAGTGAGGGCACACCGCGGGGGATGCCACACCCTGAGGGTCAGTGCTTGGACCAACCAGGCTGTCCTCCACCTTTGCCCAAGGTGCAGCATCACTCAGAAGGGGTTTCCTAGAGGGAGGAGAAAATAACCTGAAAAATCTGTCAGTACCAAGCCATTAATCCAGGGAGAGGAAAGGCCCACCGGGGGTCCCCTTGCCTCTGCTGCACCTGCCTCAGCAGCTGGTGTTGGAGGTGAGGCCCAGGGCAGCTGCCGGAGGGTTGGGAAGGGACCCGAGCAGAGCACGTTGGAGTGCCCTCTGCCTCCGGGGCCAGGCTCTCTCCAGCTGGACAGCCGCAGCCCCATCCCCGCCCCCACCCCCCAGGGCTTCTGGTCCCTCCCCTGCCCCCCCTCTTCCTGCCTTCCTAGGGAGAAGAAAACTTACTTAGCTCTTCAAGAAATTGCCCTGGAAAGAAGAAAGCAAGCTGTGACTGGTGGAAGATGACTGGTCCCCTCCCCACGCACCCCCCCTTCCCTGCCCCAGCCCCAGCGGGCTCGGGGCTCAGCGAGCGGTTCCCCTCCCCGGAGTTGGCCTGGGGAGTTGGCCTTGGGGACGGAGGAGGAAGGCCGCCTTGGCGCTCTGGATCTCGGCCCCCCCACCGAGAGGCCCTGCCTGCCGCCCCCACTGCACCTGCAAGCCTTCCATGCAGCCATTCATAGCAGATGACCAAGGCGAGCAGGGGTCCGAGCACTGGCACCAGCACAAACAGGGTTATCTTCCAGCAGGGCACCCTCAGGAAGTGGGGGTCTGAGCCGTGGCCACAGAGCAAACAGGATTAGCCGGTGTCCCCCGCCCCTCCCGCCCTTCTCCATGTATTGTCGAGCCTAACCTGTGGTCCAAGAACACCAGTCTCTTGTGCAGAGTTCAGGGAGCTGTTGAACTCAGATGAGAAAGGCCCTGCATCCTTATTTTCACCAACCTTTAACTGAATTTAGCATTTCTTCCATTAAAAATGGAGGCCACAAACCAGTCATCAGCAGTCCTGTGACTTTATCACCAAAGAAACCACAGATACTTTCATTCCCACTGGAGTTATTGCTGAAATTTCAAAATGCTTGTCAATAGTTTGACAAAGTTACTGGACCTGCTGCTACATTGTTAGTGTGTTTTTGTTATTTAAAGAAACATTTGTTACTATATTACAAATGGGTTTATATTTTGATACCTGTATTTCAACTCAATGGTTTTCTCTGCAATCGTACCTGTTACGTTTTCTGTGACTGTTTTAAAAACCTTATTCTGGGAAAGGGCCCATTAGGCTTCACCAGAATGTCGAGGAGACTCACGGTACAGAAAGAGGTAAGACCTTTGCTACTTGAATCCTACAAAACCAAGATCGTGTTCCTCCCTTCTTGGGTTGCAGAGACTGTGTGTGCATGGTCTGCATGCTGATGTGATGTCCTAAACACTTGGAAGGAGCGCTCCTTGTTCGGGAAGGCTACTCAGAGCAGGGACCCTCTGTGCTCTGCCTTAAGGCATTTTATACTTTGTGCAACATCCATCCAACAAGGATGTGGGTGCCCCTCTGTTGCAGGCACGGTCCTTAGGCACTGGGGAATCTGCAGTGAACAAAAACGACAGGGACTGTAGTGTTGAAGGGCCAACATTGTAAGGGGGCTTGGTGTCTCCTCCAGGAAGCCTTCCCTAATCAGTCCCGTAGAGTCACTTGTTCTGTGCTCTTGATGCGTAAGTACTTAGTTCTCCAGTGAATTCGTTTCACGTCCCCAACTAGACACCAGGCATGCATGGGATGCTCTGTGTACCTCCCCTCCGTTAATGTCTGTACAGAGAAACCTTGTGCTTGCTACAGCAGGAGTTAGCCCGCGGGGCTGCTGGTACAGTGCCCGGCACGGAGCAGTGGCACAGGGTGCTTGCTATCATCATCTCACCCGTGACTTCTTCAAGGGAAAGGAAGAAGCAGGAGACCAGCCCCGAGCAAGGGTTCTTATTTCCCTGGTGACCGGGTCCCATGGACACCACGCTGACTGGGGAGGACCAGGTCCTGGCACTTACCAAACGTCCGGTGCAGGTTCTCTGAAAGGGAACACACAGGAAGGGACTCAGTGGGGCACTCGGAGGGTTTCCCTTACCCCCCCCCCGGAGCCTCTGTGATTGAATCACTTAAAACTCTAGTGAGTGACACCGCGGAGGAAAGGGAACTGCTGGACTCTACCCCAGCTGGTGGCAGAGAAAGGAGTCTCGCTACAATCCATGCGTGGCTGCCGGGGTCTGAAATACTAGTGAGGTCCTGTCTGAAGCAAGCACAGGGTGCGGGACAGAGGCAGAGATGGTCAAAGAAAATGACCGCGGCAGTGATGCCGAAGGACCAGAGGGAGGGTGACGAAAACTCACCTATCTCTGCTCGAAGTTTTCCTAAAACAGAAAAAGGCGACACTGTTAGTTCCAGCCCTGGCATGAGGTGGGGCCCCTCCCACACCCGGCGCCGGGGCCTCCGTGCAGGTGGCTTCTCTGCAGCCCAGGACTGCCCACAGGGGGTGGATGGGAGAGCCCGGGTTCGCAGCTCTCTCCCCGGCTGCGGGTGGCATGAAACCCTGGAGTCCAGTGTGGGGACAGCAACGGCCCAAAACAGCCTCAGGTGTCCTCACCTCCCGTGGCGGCTCTTCGCCTTGGGCTCGCAGGTCTGTGTCGTCGACCCCCCCCACCCCCCGCTGGGCTGTCACTTTGAAAATCTAAAGCCACAACGTCCGAATGCGGAAGGAGACAGGCTCCCAAGAAGACGCTGCATCACAATATCCCTTCCCAGACGGGAGGGAGGCAGGTCCGCCCGCAAGACAAGGTCCATCAGCCCTACGCTGGATTCAGACCTGGGCGGCCAGACACCATCACATGTCCCTTCTGCTCAGCCATGGGAACTGACAGCCTTTTTCATGTGGGGGGAAGGGCACCGAGTACCCGGGATGAGTTCAAGGGAAGAGAGAGGACCCACCCTTACGCCCTCGCACACCCCAGCCCTCCCTGCAGCTTTGTGCTCTCAGGACCCGGCGGGGGTGGGGGGGGAGAAGAATCTGAGGGCCCGTGAGCTTTGGCTCAGGGAGAAGGCCCAGGGTGGACACTCTGGGCACAGAAGAGGAGCTTCACTGATGGCTAAGGCCGGGTCCTCCGTGTTGAGCGGAAAACAAGGAGGAAACAAGTTTCGAACGCTGACGATGCGGTGGGGACTTTTGCTCAGGGTCGTTATTTAAACCTCCAGTAGGCATCGACCTGTCCGGCTCGGAGGCTCACTCTCCCTCGGCACGAAGCTGCCAGGTGTGGTCCAGAGACCACGGGGGTCAGGCCCACACCCTGCCACTGACAGTGTGTCGCTCCCATAACTACTGAACCACCCCAGGCCTCGGGCGCCTCCTCTGTAAAATGGGGCTGTTGGAGGTCGGCCCTACCTCACAGGGAAATGCAAGCAGCCGTTACAGAAATGGAAGCATTTGGTAAGACGTCAGATTGTCATTCTGCAGTTTTGAACCCAGAAGTCACTCAAAATTAAACATTAGGCAACAAGCTCCCAGAGGCCAGGGTATTTCAGGGAAGGGGCCCAGCAGCCTGTACCTCTCAGTCTGTGCTGCAGGCAGAGGTAGACGAGGCCCACGGTGATCTGCAGAAGCAGCACAGGGAGGGCCGCGATGAGAACCAGCATTCCGGGGCTGATCCAGTAGAAGGGGTCTGAAAGGCAGAGCGGGTCGGATCTCTCCACGCGGGGCCTGGGGCTGCACCAACTGGAAGAGGGCACAGCTTGAAGGAAAAGTGGGTCTGTTTCTGGGAAAGGCTCGCAGGTTTCCAGGCTCCACGTGAGGCCCGTCTTCCAGAGCTTTGGGAACCAGCCAAGAGACTTAGATCTGCTGCTCCCGGGGCACGGGGAAGGGCTGCACGGGGAGGGTGACAAGACTGGACGAAGGAGGCCAGTGCGCAGCCCACAGTCGCGAGGAGAGCACAGCGCGGCCCGAGCCTGAACAAGGATGGGATGGGGTTAGGGAGGCAGGTCTGTGGAGTTAGAGGGGAAACCATGCAGTTATTTTTAGTAATCTTTGAACTGAAATTTAGCATTTCTTTCCATTAGCACGTCTGTGGGCAACAATACCATGAGCAGAACCGTGACTTCGTCATCAGTAAAACCACAGATATTTTCATATCACATTAGAGTTGTCACAAAAACCTCAAAACATCACTTACGTTCATCACT